GGTATGTATGGATTTTGGGATAAATGATGTGAGAATTTTCCTAATTTTCTTTCCAGAATTTTTCCTAATTTCGTTCGACTTCCTCTGAAATGCACATTAGGTTTTACCCCAAAGGCAAGCAGCAAAACAGCTTGACTTCATGGGGCCAAGTTGATAAATCATCGAAAGGGAACAAATTCCCATCTTCCCTTACGAATCCGGATGGAAAAGGCAAAGTCACTGACCCAATCAGGTTCGGGGGCTCGAAAGTTTATCCAGAGAATCCAGAGCCGTGCCACAAGCATATACTCGACCCGGGCAGTGAGATCGTGCTCAAATGGAACAGGGTTTTCATTGTCTCCTGCTTGTTGGCACTTTTTGTCGACCCTCTGTACTTCTACTTGCCGAGCGTGGGGGGGACCAAAGGGTCGTGGTGTGCCAAGACGGACTTGAATTTAAGGATAGTTGTCACATTTTTTCGAACAATTGCCGATGTTTTCTACCTTTTGCATGTGGTGATCAAGTTTAGGACGGCATATGTGGCCCCGAGTTCGCGGGTTTTTGGCAGGGGTGAGCTCGTGATGGATCCTAAGGAGATCGCAAGGAGATATCTAAGATCCGACTTTTTTATTGATTTAATAGCGACTTTGCCTCTGCCTCAGGTATTTTTATTTATTTTTTTCTTTTTTTTTCCTCCTGGGGATGTGGTATATTGTAATAATCTTGCATTCTTTGGTCATAAAGTTGTTTATTTTTCTTCTAAGGTGTTGATTAGAGGGTTATTGTGGATGTCTATCTCTAGTTGTTGGGCTATGCTTGGTCATGAAGTACGCGAGTGGATAACGTTTGCTGTTTGCTGTTGCAGATAATATATTTTTATTCCAGATTTTTCTTGCTACTAATTTTAGATGCTACCTGATGATAAGGTTAATGAGTGGTGTAGGATATGATATCGGAATCTGAGTGTAATGGATTTATAAATTTGCAAACAGTGGCATTTTGTTATATCATTGGAAGTATGGGAGTTGCCTACAGATGGATCTGTCGGTTTGACTCCTTGCATCTTTTTTCATTATGCCGAGTATGATTTCATCATATATAAGTGTCATTTTAGTTGTAGCATACATAATGCTGTGTGAGGCATATGAGTTTACTTAACTCAAACACAATGGAGTTTGTGATATGGTTTGTCATGAATTGTTTGAAATACGCTTCGGAGTTCGGTCAAGAACTAGGCATTATATAGAAAAGTAATACTAGATTCATCAGGAAACAAATCAACTGTTTAATAGACTGTTTTGTGGCTCTGGTGAAATATTAGGGACTGATTGTATTACTAATGTTGAGTGAAAGAAAGAGAGAGATCTAACGTTGAGGAAAGAGAGTGTGTAAGAACAAAAATCTTTTTGAGCTCATAGTCAAATATTAACTGGCCAGATATGTTAGAGCACAAAAGTAAGCTTTCTTTATTTATACTGTTGATCCTTGAAATTGAAAAAAATACTTAGTTATTAAAGTGTACGCTGAAAATCTTTCATTTTTAGTTTTGCCATGTGATTATCACTATAATTGTTATTTCTGAATGTTGCAGATTGTCATCTGGTTCATCATACCAGCGACAAGAAACCACCGAACGAATCGAGATAACAATGCCCTTGCTCTAATTGTACTATTCCAATATATTCCCAGGTTGTACCTTATTTTCCCATTGAGCTCCCAAATAATAAAAGCAACTGGAGTTGTCACCAAAACTGCTTGGGCTGGGGCAGCCTACAATTTGTTGCTCTACATGTTAGCAAGCCATGTGTGTAAATATATATTTTACAATTTTCAATACTCAAAAAACTGGTTTCAATATATCAATTTGACATATTGCATTGTCTTAGGTCTTGGGTGCAGCATGGTACGTACTGTCGGTTGACCGTTATTTATCCTGCTGGAAATCAATGTGCAGAAAGGAAGAAAGACCTGTTAAATGTTTGCTCGAATATTTAGATTGTGACATGATTGAAAATGAACAGCTCAGCATTTGGACAAACGGCACAAATGTCTTCCAGAGCTGTGACCCCACAGGAGATATCACATTCAAATTCGGGATTTTTGAGAATGCTGTCACGAAACAAGTTGTCTCTTCAACTTTTGTTCAAAAGTATTTCTATTGCTTGTGGTGGGGTTTACAGAACTTGAGGTACGTATCTGAAAGAAAAATTAACTATATTGAGATATTCCATAGATGGTTTTTTTTAAGCTCGTGGATAATGAAACACCTCTCAATTCATGTCTGTTGTGTACTTTTCAGTTCATACGGGCAGAATTTATCAACGAGCACATTTATCGGGGAAACTTCCTTTTCCATTCTCATTGCGATTTTGGGTCTTGTTTTGTTCGCACACCTTATTGGAAATATGCAGGTACTTAAGCATGAAATTGCCTTCAACTTTTTTTTCCTGTTTAGCTCTGATGCTTTCCTATATGAACTGGACATCAAATTCCTGATTTTTGGAAAGACAAATTTACAACACTATAATTGAGGTTCACTTTCCATTAACCATACTCCATACAAAAATGATGAAGCAAGAAAAAATTATCAAAACTATGACTCACTTGAGATTTTGTAGTTTACCTTTGTTTAATTATCAAATTTTTTTTTTCGAGCTTTCAATTTACACCTATCTATTTCTGCTTGTAGACATACTTGCAGTCTCTAACAGTAAGGCTTGAGGAGTGGAGGCTAAAACGACGAGACACAGAGGAGTGGATGCGCCACCGGCAGCTTCCGGAAGATCTGAGAAAACGGGTCAGGCGTTTTGTTCAATACAAATGGCTTGCGACTCGAGGAGTGGATGAAGAAGCCATTTTGCGCGGTTTGCCTGCCGATCTCAGTCGTGATATCCAACGCCACCTGTGCTTAGACCTCGTCAGACGTGTACGATTTCCTGCTCTATTCTCTTATTTTAGTATATGCCCTTTCATCTTTACTGAACTGGTGATAGTAATTTGGTGTCAAAGAGTGTGATTATAGAATATCTTTTTCTGTTCATAATTAGGAGATAATTAGTTGCACTTTTAATCCCATGGATTTGGACTATTTTCAATGGCCATTGTTCTTTTAGCACCTAATGTTAGAAAATGAGCAGTAAACATTTGAGTATAAATAAAGAACCAACATTATGGTGGGAGCAAATGTTGAAAAGAAATTCTGTTTGGATCAAAAGTGCTATTAAAGCATATTTCCCAGGGAGCAAATATAGATTATGAGACCAAAAATGTCAAATCATAAATACTGAAGGACGGAAAGTGCAACTGCGATACATTTTCGTGCAAACATGATTTTTCAAAACATCAAAACGAAATCTTTTCCCTCGCATGACAATTCTTGTTTTCCCTCCAAAAATTCGGCAGGTCCCGTTTTTCTCACAGATGGACGACCAATTACTCGACGCCATATGCGAACGGCTCGTCTCGTCCCTTAGCACGGAAGGTACCTACATCGTTCGTGAGGGTGACCCCATAACCGAGATGCTGTTTGTAATCCGTGGCCGACTTGAAAGCTCCACCACCAATGGCGGCCGAACGGGATTCTTCAACTCCATCACTCTCCGCCCGGGAGACTTTTGCGGAGAGGAGCTCCTTGCGTGGGCCCTCCTCCCGAAGTCAGCAGCCACTAGCCTCCCGTCATCAACTCGAACCGTGCGGGCCCTTGTCGAGGTCGAGGCCTTTGCCTTACGAGCAGACGACCTAAAATTTGTGGCCAATCAATTTCGCCGCCTCCACAGCAAACGGCTGCAGCACACTTTTCGGTTTTATTCCCACCACTGGCGTACGTGGGCTGCGTGCTTTATTCAGGCCGCCTGGCGTAGGTACAAACGGAGGAGGCTAGCCAAAGATCTTGCCCGGATGGAATCGTCCGTGGCGGCGGCCCAGGAGGAGGAGGAGGAGGATGATGAGGTGGCAGGACCGGATTCGTCGTCGGCCGTCATAAAGTCGAATTTGGGGGTCACGATTTTGGCGTCGAGGTTCGCGGCCAACACAAGGAGAGGGGCTCAGAAGGTTAAAAACGTGGTGGATTTGCCGAAGCTGCCGAAGCCTGAGGAGCCCGACTTCTCGGTCGAGCCGGAGGATTAGTCTTTTTTTTTTTGAAGTTTTGCTTCTTCTTTTTTTTGTTATTATTATTAGTATTTGAAGAAAATGTATTTAGTTAACAAGAGATAGTGTCCGAGTTCTCTGATCAAGTATTTTTTAATGTCTGATCACAGCCAATCTCTGTATGAAGTGCTAGTCTATAACTGATTGCTTCTTTTCCAACTTTGTAAGGAAACAAATAAGTGTAAGCAAATATAAACAGACATAAACTGTCTGTTGTGTTTTGTTGCTATACATTTTATTACCCCTGCGAGTCGAGCGGTTATAGAGGCATGTAAACTCGAGAGCAAACGAGTGAAGCCTCGAGCATTATTTCAAGAGGCATGTAAACTTGACGAGCTACTCGACTTTTTATTTACACGTACCCTACATAGTTTAAATATTAAAGCTATCAATTTTGATTAAAAATAGTACCTTTATTTTTAAAATTTAGTTAAAATTTTGAGTAGAACTCGAGCTTGTCGGACATTGAGTCGAGCTCGAGCGTTCTTATTTTATTCACGTGTCGATCTCGAGCTCGTGCAGTGAATAAAAAAGTTCGATTGCAAGATCCATGCTTGATTCGACCCAGATTCATTTGCAGCCCTACTCACCACATCTGTTGTTACTTTTTGACAAGGTGACTTGCAATATATGATAATTTTGGGTCTTCTGTACTGCCTTTACAAAATTCTAGTAAATTATACCATGATTACGTTTGGTTAATGATCCTGTAAAACTTGAAAGCCCCAGAAAAATACAGAAGAAAAGATTTATATCACAGACGCAATCTCAAACAAAAATGAGTTAAACAATGAAACCCTCACAACTCAACTGAAAAATTTACAAATGGAGTCAAAAGTATACATCCTAGAACAGTTATTGTGCATAATATATGTTCAGTACTTGTCAGCATCATAAAACTCTATTGTCTTGTACTTCTGTGAGATGATCTCAGCCTGGACTTTTCTAGCCGTATCGGTTGCACAACCGACAAGAATGAGAACAGACGTGCCGGCAAAACCCCTGAAAGCCGTGAGGTGTGTGGCTTGTTCAATCACAGCTGGACCCGCAGCAAGTAAAGCCAAAAATGCCGAACCCAAAACTGAAATCCGGCTTAGAACCTATAAAAGTGATAAACGGTCAATATAACCAAAATGTAGGTTTTTCGAGCACAAGACAAGTCCAAATTTATAAATTTTCAGCTTTTTTTTTCATATTTGTAGTTTTTCCCAATTTTTTTCCCAGTTTTGTCGAGAGCATGATACCAAATCAACACTAAATCAAACTATTACCGTTCTGATGAAAATAGCAGTGCTTTTTCCAGGTCGGACGAGTGGGATAGAGGCGCCTTGCCTCTTTAGCTGCTCGCTGACATCATCGGGATCCAATTGCAAAAACGTGTAGTAATAATTGAAGAAGGCTATCATCAAAATGTTTGTCGGCAAGTATAATGAACCTGAAATATTACAAATTAAAATCACGTTAAAAGCAGCAACACGCTTAGTCAGGAAATCAAAGCAATAGTCCATACCTATTTTTTAGATTTTCCGTTTTTAGTCTCGGTCACATTTCATAAAACACCCATAATCATTTGACCCCAAAAGACAGAGTACAAAAAACAGTACATGAAAACTTACCCCCAGGATTTAGACCAACAGCAGCTTGCTTCAGAAAACTAATACCGGTAAATCGTGCAAGAGTTCCTGGAAGAGCCAAAGATGAAGTGGAGAAGATGATTGGCATCACTCCAGAACTATTTACCTGTCCCATTTACCTCTATTAATATAGTTGTGGATGGAAAAAGGATAAATATTCATTTTTTTTATACTTCACATGAAAAAAAAAAAAAAAAAGTTACAAAACTAGGGTGTCGTGATTTTGTCTTGGAAAAGACCATTTGGTATATTTGCACTTTTTTTTGTATTCTCAAATTGTTATCATAATCTCAAAATTACAATTTCTTTTTCCAAATGAAAAACATGTGATTCAGATGTCACTAATATAATATTTCATTTTACTTTCATTTTAATATAAAAAAGCATATTGAAAAAGTGCTTCACTATAACTTATGTTGTTTTGAGCTACCATTACCATACGCAACCCACTTTTAAGCTTAACCATTTCTGTTTCTATTACTGAAATCAGATCTTCTAAAGGCACAAGCATCAGCAAATTCTCTCCTATTAAACTTGCCAAAAGATGTTAATCCAACTCAAATATTATGGCAAACAACTAGGAAAAAAGCTTATGCACCACCTTAAAGGGCAAGTAAGCAGATTTCGAAAGCCCACCAGCTCCACTAGAGTATCTTGATGCATAATTAAGTGGGATTTTCCTCTCTGCTTCCTGGATGATTACAAACAATATACCGAATTTACTGCAACAGTAATACTCGAAAAGAACAAAAGAAAAAAAATTTAACTAGTTAAAAGTAATAGTCACCTGAACATAGACGATGCTAAGGACCAGCAGAAAAAAGGAAACAATGATGCCGGCAAGCCCAATATAGTTACCGTCTTGAAATGCCTGTGCAACAGTCCTTCCAAATGATGCAGGCAAATAGGAGATGATATTCGTGAAGATCAAAAGGGATGTTCCATTTCCAAGTTTCAAGTCGGTAATTTTTTCCCCAATGTAAGTAGTGAAAACCGAGCCAAGAGTCAGCATAATAACAGAAGAGAGAACCCACTGAGTACTGAAGTCGTTGACATAAGGACGAAGGTAGAATACTTGACCAATTGCCTGTCATGAAAAATGATAATTATATGTATAAAAAAACTAATATCAGTGGTCAATATCAATTCCTAACTCCAGCTGGTCAATATCAACGAGTAATTTCAATGTAGAATTTCAGATCAACTTATGAAATTATGAATACCAAACACCAACTTATTTACCTGCACTACAGCAAATCCAACCGAAGCATAACGAGTATACTGCAGGACTTTCTTTCTTCCAGCCTCACCTTCCCTTTTTTGCAGTTCTTGCAGCTTTGGGTATATTTGAGTCAGAAGCTGAAAAACTATCTGTGCATTGATAAAGGGCACAATACCAAGAGACCCTATTCCGAGCCGACCAATACCACCACCAGAAAACGAATCCAGAGTTCCCAACAGGCTGTTTTGATCCAGATTACCAACAAAAGCCTCCCGATTCACACCACCGAGGGGTACGTATATTCCAAGTCGTGACAAGGCCAAAAATCCCAAAAGCTTGAGAAATTTTCCGGGCAGTGGGCCCTTGAAGAAATCCCCAATATCGATGCTGGTATCTTCTATGGCAGCTGGAAAATTCAAAGAATCCTAATGAAGGGCCAAGAGCAGAAGGTAAAATAATTATTGAAGAAATTAATGTAAAAGAAAAAGAAAGGTGATATATAGACCTGCCACTCCTCGCGAGGACGAAGATTTCTCTTTTTTGGTGCCTGAGGAACTCCTGAGTGTTGGAACAAAGTATTCGAGAGCACTTTCCCATGCAGTTGTTAAATTTGATAATCCATCAGGACAGATGCCCAGCGGATCAAATACAGAACTCTCGTGACTAGAAAGAATTCCAATCATGAAAAAGATTTGTGTTAATATATGTAAAGGTAGCCAGGTCAGAGCCATACAAAGAGGTGCAACTTTAAAAAGGACAGTAAGAAACTCGAACACGAAGTTTTTATGTTAATTTAAAAGCAGAAAAAACCAAATCAAAGTTTCAGAACTTAAAGTAATAACATTCGTACAATGTAAGGTGACTAGAATTAACAGCTTCCCGTTACATTTTTCCCATCCTAGATCGTGATTTGAATTGAGCATAGCTATATGCATCCAACATCTCTAATAATTTCCATAAACTTTGATCTGACGAACCAAATGCATTGGCAAGGATAAACAAGCACAGTAAATGCAAACTCCCCAATGAAGAAAGAAAATTTTAGGAGGAACACAAGTTTCAGTTCACTATTGACTTGAAGTCATCATACAATGTCTTAGAAAAAGGACTTATGCCTTTGTTGAGGAGTATTATATGATATAACAAATGCAAAGAAAGATTTTCGGACACATCAAGCAGTTAGTACATTAAATCGAAAACATAAATTCTGAAGTATGTTATCTGTTCGTGATTATCTGATGACAGTAACTCATAAAATATGTTCTCCAAGACTCCAATAGATCAAAATATACTTAACAATCATTATCGGTTAACTGCACAACGACCTAATGTACAATATGATGCTCTGACATCTGAGAGCATCCTCCATTTATTCACTAACGGGGAGCAGTAAGTAAAGTCCAAATAACTTAAAACATCCATACATTTCATGATCAACAGAGAATTTTTGCTACTCAGACTAATTCCAGAATTTAAGCTTATAATGTAGAATAACATGACAGGTAAGTAACACAAAAGAACACACACTCACACAAAAAGAGTAAACAAATTCCAAAGAAAATCACAGAAATATACAGACTAATAGCTCCCAACAAAAATGGCCGCACTTATAAAAGACAAAACAAAAACAAAAACCCTGGTTTCCTAACAAGACACCTAAAAATCCTGAAAAAAGACTTGATAGATAGTCCAAAGTTAGGATTTTGCGCGATGGGTTTACCTCTCTTTGTGGCTGCCCTTTGTGCTCTTTGGGGAGACGGTGAAAGTGGCCCTGCAAATGGGTTTCTTGCAATTTTTGTCAAGTGCATATTTGCTGGGCTTGGCACAAAAAGAATGCTTATTCGAAACGGAGCTGTGTGTTAGAGATGTGGTGGAGCAAAGAGAAGATGAAATTTGCCTCACCGTTATCAACATTATCTCCTCCCAAACAAGAACACGCACTCACCACAGTGAACTATGGAGCTTAAGGGCGTGTTTGGACTTTGGGGAAATTATTTTGTGTACCTCAATTTTCACCACAAAATTGCTAAAAAAAAAAAAAAAATGGTTTTAGTTTT